GACTTCTCCTCTCTTCCTCCAGACCCATTAACACCTCATTAGGACACAGTGATGCCTTTCCTCTACCGTCTGTGCGTTGAAACAATTGTGATACACAGAAAATGTGTTTTTAGTGGAAATGTTCTGATGAATTATCTTGACTGTGCCTCTCTGGATCAGTTTACTACAGACAAAGAGCATTCAGAAAGATAGATAGTGATTTTATTTTTATTTTTAAAGCAAATCTGTTCTTGAATAATATGAAATAACTCTGCCGTTTACAATATGATACAAAAGGACTGAATTAGAAATGCATGGGGAAATGTTTCAGACGTCATCTTGCCTCCAGTACAAGTTTTGTATCAACTGTGTTTGTAAGAACAGTCATAATTAAAAAGAGAAAAAAAAAGTGACATGAAAAGAAATTCAAAATAAAATTTTGTTTATACTGTGCTATTGTTTACACTTCAGGGTATTTCCACTCAGCACTTTTCATTGAAGAGAAGTCAAGCTCCGGCTTTTGAAAGACCTCACTGTGTCGCGTTAACTAGATAAAAATCAGTTCAGCTTGAGCGCTGGCCTGTGGATTCATACCATACAAATCTGCATCCAAGGCCCGCCGTGAACGGTTTCTTCATAATCCTCTTCCGCTGTGTCTTCCACACGATTCCACAAAACACAATGCTACTTTATCCCATTTACTACATTGTTTATATTGTTACATTGTTACTCCTGAGTGGAATGGCTATTCTAATATAGGTCAAGTTTTCTAGTAACAGAATTTACCCTAATGAGTAGATGTAGTGCCTTTGATCATACTTTCACTACTATGAGCATCAGCATGACTTACAAGCAAAGGGTGCTGCTGTTTAACAGGTGCGTGTGTGTAATGCTTATTTAGGGCAATCTTGCAAATAATTAACTACAGCTGAGGAAAATGTCATTAGTTTTTGTAGCAATAAAAAAACTTTGAGACTAAAGATACTTAAAGGAACGCTGACTTGCCGCACTCCAAACTGTTCCCGCATTTTAGACAAATTCCCAAAAGCCAGCGTCGTGGTGTCGCAGGAGGAAAAAGTCCAGCAGACGTTAAGGTTCTTCAGCCTGGATTGAAGCAGTGGGCGGACTGACCGATCAACCTCTCACTGCCATCCAACTTACCTACACCAAAGCACTGCTAATGTCTTTTAAACATTGCATCAGCATATTCATGGACATGATTTAGTTTTAATGAAGCCAGCCTTGTGTTTTCTCCAGTGTAACACATTATCACATTTATTTGGAGAAAGAAAGAAAAATCCACAAAAATAATGCCACAGCTTTGGTCAGTTAAATCTACTAAATCAAACAGTTAAAAAAAAAAAGCAAACAATTTCTCTAGTCAGTGCCTGCCAGCAGTTCTTTTCAGGACTGTTTCTCTGAACAAATGTGGATGCTCAAGGTTTTTTTTTTCTCCCAACGCAGCACGGATGAATTTATGTTGCTGATTCCAGGCAAAGCTTTTCTCAGAATCCTTTTGAGCCTTCTTTTCTTCAGTTGAGCGCAGGACAACAGTTATTCATTGTTTCCGAGACATCTCTCAACTACTAAATCATCGCAAGTTCTGGGTATAGTGGTGGAAGTATAATCAAGTACATTTACTCAAACAATGGACTGCAGTACAAAGTTTAGGTATTTTCAACATTTAGCCCACCACATCCCAGAGGGGGAATACAGTGCTGTTATTTGATTGCACTTACGTGGCAGTCGTAGTTCTTTTAAAAATAAAGATTTTCACCAAAAAAACATGTAAGGAACTTACATGTTTTTTTGGTGAAAATCTTTATTTTGTGAAGTTTTATGTTTTTTGTGAAAAGATGTTTTACAATTAGAGCTGACAGGATTATGCGATGAATAAATCATTCAATAACTGTGAAAATTTAAGAAATGAGGGAAGTTATCCGTTTTCTTTTCAGAATGCAAGACTAGACAATCATGTTTAATGGAACTGAATGTGGAAGAAAAAGGAGCTCAACTTTAACAAACTACACTGAAAAATCTGGCTTTTACACACCTGCATGAGTCATGTATGCTCCTGAGATCCTTCATCGTCATATGGAGGCATTAAATGCAGGCTTTTCGCACCTTACACTTCATTCTGCTCAATAAAGCCTTTTAAACTTAGTTAAATGGTGCTGACTTAATTACGAGGACATACTTTCAAAAATAATGATGCTTAGGTTTTTTTCTTTTTTTATAACCCAAATAGCTGGGATATATTGAAAATGCAAACCAAACCAGAGCTGGGGTTTCATGAGGATAGGATACTATAAAGGTCACTGGGATATTTTCCACATCAAGCACATTTCAGTGCTTGTGCATTGTGACAATGTGTGTAGTCAGATAACATTTTTATGGCCTGATATTACTTCACATTAAGGACCTGAGCTTTGCTCAAACAGGAAAATTATATTCCATACGCACATATGCGATTGGCTAGGGCGTTGGTTTTGGAACTATTGCTGATAAGCACGTTTGTCCTAAAATGTGAAAATTAAGAGGTCATTTCCAGCTGGAAATTCTTAAAATGAATACATTTGTGAACAGGTGGCAATGCAAATTTATGGCAATACTGCACAGCACAGAAAACGAGTACACAGAGCTGATTTATTAGGCAGTGTAGCCCTACTATCAGATTTATTGATGCTTACTGGCAGACTATTAATTTTATTGCAGTATAAAAAGGGTAATATATGACAAACGTGCCAAACAAAGGCTGGGGCATTAAGAAACACATGCATGTGTTTTGTCTTTATTTTTTAAAAAACATTGGAAAGAAAATAAGTAATTTCTGTTTAAAATAAACAAATAAAAGAGATTTTTAGTAGGCGTAGGTGCGGTGTTACAGAAGATGTGCAATAATATTCTCGGATAGGCCGAAACAACACGTGAACCCATCTGACTTCGAGAAGCTTGAAGATAAAGAGGACTGTAACTTTGAAATATTTTATTATCAACTTAGTGTAGTGCAACTGAAAAGAAGCATAAAAAGACGTATGAATCCCTTCTGCTTTTTCTTTTAGGACTTAATCCAAAAACAGGCAAACACATAAACTATGCGCACTAGTGTCTCGGCATTAATGAGCGCAAAAGTGCAAGTAAATGGGGAAGTGCAATCCACAAATGCTGCCCTCAAGTCTACACTAAAGCGGATGTTGATGGTTAGAACATGATTTAGCAAGTATTTTGACAGCTGAAGTGTAATTTTAAGTTCTTTAAAGCTAAAACCACATTTTCTGTTTTTAGACTTTCAGATGTTTCTTTACTTGAGATTTCTTTTGTCTTCCACGGTAGTAACAGGAATTTTTGCACACACACAACCCCCTCCCCAACAACGGCATTTTAACACTGAAAAAAACAATTAGTCCACGGATCAAGAAAATAACTGCACTCCACGTACACAGGAAGCTCGCGCGCGCGCGCACGCACGCACTCTCTCTCACACGCGCACACACACAGCCTTTCTCTTTATCTTCATGCTTCCGGCTTTCTAGAAACTTGTGCCGTGACTGCAGTGGCCTTTTCAAAAGCAACAACTATAAAATTACACTGCAATTAAAAAAGAAAAAAGAATCTCAATTAGAACATCTGCACTTCTTCATCTTGACATTTTCACTAAAACTGTTTGCCTGCTTCATAAAACCACACACACACACACACACACACACACACACACACACACACACCCACACACACACACACAGCTGTTCCCTCTTACATTTTAGCACCGTGTTATGACCTTCTCAAACCTGCTCACACAAACTTATGAAATTATCTGCTGCAATTTTAAAAAAAAAGAGAGAAAAGCAAAAGAAGGAATGAATGCTTTTCGAACGTCTGTCTAACAAACCTGCCTGTTTTTATCATGCAGAAGGGGATTGCTATAAATTACAGACCATTTATAAACAGGCGTTCAAACAAAGTGATTTATGAGGAATGTAATTTCTTTAAATCTAGTTTCTTGTGTCTGTGTGCTTTAATGAACTGCATGTGACTGCCTTAACCTGCCTGCTGCTGGTTTCTTTTTACTATAGCAATGATTACATCTGTAGACTTTCTGTTTCCATGATATGTATGTAAAATATGATTGCAGTAGCATAAAAAAATTATGCTACTGCAATCATATTTGAAAAATGTAGATGTGCTTTTTTGCCTAAGGCCTCAAAAGGTATTTGTTCAACCTCACCCAGCAGGGACAGATAAAGTCCACAGAACTTCTTAGAAAGAAGCTCATTTCAGGATTTCTGAGAAGACGCTTCAGGATCAGCGCGCTCTCCTGGGTATGGTTATGATTATGACGCAGCATATTTCACATATTACTCTGCTTCCAAACTACCACATATGTCTGAGCGATGGCTCTTAGTATTATTGGAATAAATATTTTAAAAAGCCGGACAGGATATGCCACAGATTTTACAACAATACGCAAAAACCCAGCGTCAGAAATCATCCTTAAACAGCCCTTATTTGGCCATATTCTCGTAAATGAAACAAGATATCAACACCTACATGCATTGGAGTGTAAGCTGCAGGCCGATGCAGGGATCTCTTAGATACATTCCCGGGAAAATAAATACCAGGAGAGCTCAAATAAGCAGAAATGTAACTGCAAATGAACTATAGTTTAATCTAGGGCTGCATGTGTGCAAACAAGACACAAAAGAGCAATAAAAGTGAAGATTATCAGAAGTCACAAACTGAAGCACAATCAGCTTTTCTCTGTCTCTACGGCAGTCTTAACCCGGTTTATATATATTTTTTTTAGTTTATTGTCACAATAACAACTTGTTTTCTCGAGCGTAATTACTCTAAAGCTCCTAGAAAACCTCTCGCCGTGTTTTTCCACCAGGATCGAGGGAAATCTATATTACTGGAAATAGCCAGTGAGCATTCCTATTATCTTTAATGTCGAGGCGGTGAATTCCCAGAATGAAGCCTCTGTCAGGGCCGCCCGGCGGGGCGGAGTCAAGCTCTGCAATTATTCCTGGAAAGCGACTAGGCAGAAGCTGCCGCGCGGTTCCTGGGAGCGGAGCGCAGGTTCAGCGAAGGCGGGGAGCCGCCGGGTGAAACGAGGGGAGAGATGCCAGAGAAAAACAGCACGGTTCGGGGCGGTTGTCCTGGGAATTAACCGAAACACAAAAAACCCCACACACATATATGTGCGAACCCGGTTTGTCCGTCGAAGGAGCGCTAATAGAGAAGCTGTAGCCCTGCCGCGAAGCGAAACAACCGGCGGCGGTTGGAGCGGAGTGGGAGTTGGTGCGGCCGGCGTGACGTCAGAGCCGCCGGTGCTGCGAGTTCTCAGAATAGACTTCTAGGAAACGGTAAATTTTAAAAGCCAAGCCTTTACACTCTGTCCTTCACACATCGGGATCTCATTCTGGCGACAACACACTCCAACGCAGTGCTGCGGAGAGCTGAGCTTTACAGTAGAGCCGCTTTTAGGTCGTTTCTATTATATTTTATTGTTGTTCTCCTCTCTGCTGATCAGTGTTAAGGACAGGAGCAGAGCCTGTTTGCGTGCGCGGAGCTCTTCGGGTTACAATCGAGCTATTCATACATGAAACCCATGTCACCGCGGATTGTTTGTTAGCCAGATTTTTATTTTTTTCCTTCCTTTTTCTTTAGATACATTTTAGTCTCTGTATGTTTTGATTGTTTTCTGGAGAAAGTCTGATTGGATTTAAGCCCAGAGAAGTGAAGAAATAGAATGATTCTTTGTGTACCCGGGTGAGTTGACTTTTCTTTGTGTCTCTGCTTTCTCTTTGCTCGTCATTGTAAAGAAACCCAGCCGGGAAATTTCAGTTACACACACATATATATACACTTATATATATATAAATATATAAGTGTAAAATTGCCTTAATTATTATCATTGTTGTTCAGGTGAAAACAAGACAAATGCAGGCCTGTTGCAAGATCTAACGTAACCTTTAAAAAATACTAGTTATTAGTAGTTCATTGTTTAGATCAGCAGTAAAAATAGGATAAAATGCGATAAAGTCAGTTTTTTGAAAAATAAATAAATCAGCCAAAAAATATTAAAATTCCAGGGTTAAAAACAAGGAAGCTGTGATAAATCCTCCTGCTGTGTTTGTTTATGTCTGCTAACTAGTATCTTCCATCTGATTTCCAGTCCTGGAGCTCTTCTGCCCACTACCCCGTCCACTGAATCCCCGCGGGGTATGCGGGCAGGAACTGCAACTCCCACCCCCTGCTTCCAAAGCACCAGTCCACGATGGGACCCCACAAAAGATCTGAGGGCCATTGCCAGCAACTTCTGCTACCTAGAAAATTCAGGTGTGGTTTAAAACATGCTTCACGTCCTTTTCATTCCAAAAAAAAAGGAGGAAAAAAAAAAGCATTCCTAAAAATCCTCGATGTGTTCCAGGTATTGTTTGGTACATTTCATTATCTGCTCTGAGAGATTAGTTGATTGTTCATTGCTAAGTAAACATCAGGCTTCATGCAGGACAACACGATCTGTTCACGGTGACTAATATTTAGGAATTTGTGTGTGTAGGATGGTACTGGGGAGCTGTGACTGCAGCCCAGGCCCACACTGCTCTTCAGGAGGCATCTGAAGGAGCCTTTTTGGTACGGGACAGCAGTCACCCTCTGTACATGCTGACCCTGTCGGTCAGAACCGCGCGTGGCCCCACAAGCATACGGATCCAGTACAGCTGCGCCCAGTTTCTGCTCGACTCCAGCTCCCCGGCCAGACCCAGCCTGTCATCCTTCCCCAGCGTTCCCAGTCTGGTGCAGCACTACATGGGACCAGAGAGAAAGGCAGAGGAGGGAAGAGTGGAGGAGGAGCCTCCTTCAAAAGCCTCTCAGCAGGGCATCCAGGAGACCACAGTGGTACTAAAACTCAAGCAGGCTCTGTACAAGCCCCAAAGCCTCCCCTCTCTTCAGCACCTCACACGCCTCGTCATTAACAGACAAACTGACTGTCCCGATCAGCTACCACTCCCAAGGCCCCTGCTGCGTTACTTACAGGACTATCCCTTCAAGGTCTGAGGGGGCGGAGGAGGAGGAGAAAGAGGAGAGGAGGTTCACTGAATCACTATTAATGGCTGAATCTCAGCTTAAGGGAAAAAAACAACAAAAAAACCAACACTTTTAAGCGGGTCCTTTGTGCCCGTAAAAGACATTGCTGCTTCAGCAGTTGGAGGCCAGTTGCAAAAATACTGGACACAGGGTGATGTTTTTGGTGACAAAATGTGTACAAATTCAGTTAATCCTGCTGTGTCTGGTTTCAGACTTAAATTGTTGAGGACTGGATGTCGAAGCACCCCAGGAAAAAGGAAAACAACAACAACAACAAAAACTTGTGAGAAACATGAAGTACTGTACTCTGTTTTATGATGGATGTGGAAAATTGTCCATATCTTCTCCCCTCCCTCATCAGTTCAAGATGTATATAGTTTCCTGAGAAGTACACTGATTACACTGAGACATCTTTTATGCCATTTTATTTTTGTTTTCTCAGTACAGCATCTTTTTGTACCTTTTACATGTGTACATTTTTCTATTAAAACCACCAGCTGGACTCTTGGCGTGTCATGCTTTTACATTTGTATCCACTTGTTATTCATCTGTGTTGTTTGAAATGCCAAACGTTTCTGTTGTGTTAAGGCTTGCGATCGCCATCACCAACCCCCGCATGACGACTGCTCTTGTGACACTTGTTAGGAAATATTTTCCCTTAAATCACCTTTGAAACACAAAGACTTAGTGGCCTTTAAACTCTAAGTATGCGAGAGAAGCAGATTGTGTGAGGAAGTAAAGGCCGTGCTGCGTGAGCTTTTGCTCAACAATGCACGCCGCTTGCATCTGAGTCAGCGAGAGGACAAGCTGAGGGGAGGACCGTTCGTCAGCGGATTCACAGAACTACTGAATGCTTCCTGGGAGGAGGGTGAGCTTCTGAGAGGGAGGGTTCCGAGAAAAGCTTCGGTAATTACCTTCAGCTTTGGAGCCTGTGTTTTTTTTGTGCCATCGTGCACACATTTTTTATTGTGACGCAGGATGTGATCACGACTGTTACTAGATTAAAAGTGCAGCGGTGACATGAAAACAATGCGCGCTTGTGCAAATTATGAATGCTGGGTGTTATCAGATCAGTGTGAGCGCGTGCTTGGTGGTTCAGTGGGGGTAGGGGAGCTGAGGCAGCGGCGACCTGAGCTAAAGCCAGCGTAATAGGATCTTAATTTCTCAGTCCAGATCCTGCTTGTGGTCCTTGTTTGACTTCTTCCTTCTGAAGGATGCAGAATCGAGGCCTAGGAAACACAAAAAACGAGCCGGCGTCACCGATGCCCAAACCCCAGACCCCTTAATCAAATCACAGCGATGGCCCTGAAAGTGGGCTCACGCAGAGTGATTTCATATGAAAACTGATATTGATGTAAAGCAGTTTTATTGAACAGACCTGCCGGTGATGTCATGCCGTGCCTCCTTAAACTGCAGCCCGTCCACGTTCCCCTCCACCCACTGTCGAATGAGTGGGGGGTGTCTGGGGTCCACCTCCAAGTAAGCACGACTGTTTCTCACCAGGAAATAAAACAAAAAACCCACAGAAATGGGGTAAAAATTAATCATCAACAGGACTCGATTTTGAAAAGTAACCCTGAGATGAGAGCAGCACATGCCTGGAAGTGCATTCACTGGAAGTCTTTTAGAAAGCTTAACACATTAAAGAGGCAACACGATACATGTGTTTTTCAGAACACGCTGTTCTTGTGACAAGGCGCTTTTGCCTTTAGGAATTGAACACAGGTGTGTCCGTCTGTGTGTGAGAGTTGGCTTTTTTTTTTTTTTTTTTTACCCATAACTGGACAGAATCTGGGGAGCCAGGGTCAAAATCTGCTTGATCACTTTCAGGCCGTCTTCGCCTCCGTCTAAAGCAGCCGGGTCTTCAAATCTGGGGAGCAGCACACAGCAAAAGCACACACTGTAAAATAGATACAAACATCACATATTTTAAAATGTTTTCTAATGAAATCTGATAAGCTTATTTATTAGATTTACATTTTACATGCAAATTACAGCTAAAAGTAAAGGATGAGTGCACATTTCCTTCACTATGATCATTTCTTCTAATTTAAAGATCCCAACATTGATTAAATGGTCAGCTACTCATAAATAACATATATTAAACAGTATGTTAATATTGTTATATTGGTTTCATTGTATTTATTAAACAGCTTTAACAAATACAATGTTTAACAAATTGTAACAATTGTACAATTTTTTATAAATACAACTGTATTTGTAAGCAACCTAAAACAGTAAATTCTGCTTGGTTTTATATGCCCAGAGATTATCTTTCATAAATCTTTTATAGTTTCATATATTTCCACCTTCTCCTATAAACCCAACAGATGAATGCTTAATGACATTGTAATTACTCACAATTATTTAAACAATACAACCTTAATAGCTCACTCTAAAGATTTGTACATTCTGCATTTAATAACAACTTTTGCAAATCCAACTGAATAAAGCTTTTTTTTTAATGTTAAACATAGACAGGTTTAATATATATAAAATGAGAATTTAGTCACCTTAAAATTTCAGGTTCAAGGGACACCATGTCTTCTGAAAACAGGTACGGAGGGTTACTGACCAAAGTTGTAACTGGCCTAATGAGACTGAGTAGAGTTTCTGCATCTGATAAAAAACAAAACAAAACAAAAAAATCTTTTTTATCAGCAGAGGGATCAGCTTTGTTATTTAGAAAAAAACATGCAAAACTTTCACTGACCCTTCATGACATCGATGTGATGAATCTCTAATCTATCCTCAAGTCCCAATCTGCAGACGAAAATCCTTTTTCAGATTTTATGAAATCTTTATAACAATGTAATGTAATCTTTATAATAAAAATAAATCAATGCTAAAGGACATTTACAACATAGTTTTCATGGGTTGTGCTGCAATTACCTTAGTGCGTTCTCTCTTGTTAAATCCACTGCATCCTGGCTCTGATCCAGGGCGACGCCTTTAAGCTGGAAAACAAAACACAAGAACTAACTTTACGCAGAAGTTTTCTCTCTGTTTTCCTGTATTTGTATGCACGGGAAAATTGGGACATTTTTACTTCTTTATAATCTGATAACAGAAGAGAGTCTAAAATATGCAAACACAATATCACAGTATAACTGGAGTGCATGTTTGATCAGCTGAGATGAGAAGATGTACATGTGATGTGCGGATTGCAGCTTATCAACTGGAAATCTATAACTAATGATTTATCATATCAGTTATCCTATTGATTTTTTTCCCTGTTAATCAATGTGGCTCGGCTACAGGGAGGGGTGGAGCGGGGGGTTCAGTGTGTTGTGTCAGGGGAGGTTGACCCACACAGCTGTTCTCCATCATCGGGTCATGCCTTCCCTATTTCAGGAGGATGCCGGGACCGGACAAGAGAGCGGTGTGTGCTGCGCAGAGCGAGGCAGCTGGAAAGCTGCACTTTAACTCTGTAAATAAAAAACACTCAACAAACTGTAACACTGTGGTTGTCTGGTCCTTCGCCATTACAGTCTATTAATAGTAAATAAATAAGTCATCACTAAAAAATGAAACATAACATATGGTCATCACAAGCCTCAAAAAAACACTCAATTAGCTCAGCCTAAAGAATCCACTGTCAAATGTTCTTTAGAATAACTAAATGACACATAAAAAGCTGCAGCCTTTGTATCAATACTCACTGTTAGGTTAAGGCAATTTATCTATTTAGGCTTAAGCTGACAATAGTAGTGAGCAACACTTTCCAATGGCTATGGGTCAAAAAGCTCAAACAGCAGTTTGAGTGTATAAGGCCATGACATTCACCTGTGTCAGTACCTGACGTTCCCGAGGTGAGCATGGTGTTCCATTCCTCCAGAGGAATTTATTTAACTTAGAGAATTTATGCCAGGATTGAAACTTTTCTCATAACACACGACTGCCCACCAACTTACGTTGGTGTTTTTCATAATTTGTAATTTTTCTCTAACTGATGCATCACGTTCAGCATCTAAACAAGCTGACATTTGCTTGTTATATGGGATTAGTTTCAAAAATGCTTGGTGCTACAGGAAATGTCACAACTTCCTGAAGAGAACATGAAAGTCTGTACACAACGTTACTGATTGCAAAGAGGATCCTGATCAAAACCACAGATGTTCAAAACACAACCTCATCTGACAGATGTTGATGAGGAAGAAAAAACGTCTGGGTCTTGAGATTTTGCAGACACAACCACTAACCGCCAGACATTCAGTTATTAGCTCATTTGGACGCATGACCGTCATGGTGACAGTGTAGGATCAAGCGAATAAGGTCCCGGTCACACAGGCTTAAAGACCTGCCAGTGACCATCTGGCAACCTCCTGGTCATGGAGGAATAATGAGTTTACCCTGACCGATTGCAAGTGGTTGCTGAAGGCTGATGGCAGTCGCTGGGAAAATAACTGTTAAAGCTGCAGCCACTCATGCCTAAAGACCGGACTTTTTATGGCGTTATTTTTGTGCCACTATTCTGAGCGCACATAAAAAAGTTTTTTGCAGGTGCAAGTGTTGCATTTTGAGGAGAAATTTATTTTGAGCGAAGAAAAGCTACATTTGAGTGAACAAAATTCATTGCTGCGTGCAAAAACTGTGTTTGCTATTATCCCCACACACACACAATAGCAGCCCCTCTCGCTCAACATTTCTGCCCCTGCGCATTCAACTCTTTCTGTACGCCGTGTGCCACAAAACCAGCCAATCACAGACTTGGATGCAAAAAAATCTGATTGGCTATTTTGGTCTCCAATCAGCTCGAAATGACGAAATGCAATATCCCAGAATCCATTTCGTCCAAACTCAAACGAGGCAGTGGTGGAGTTTGAAATATCACTCTTTCTGGGTTACAAACTAAACTTTTAGGATATTTTCATACGATACTGGTTCTGTGTAAACTTCAAAAACCTGCTCGATTTATCAAGACATCACATATTTGCAAAAGTGCTCTAATGTTTTCGGAGATGCCTGTTACCCACCAGCTGACCGCATAGCTGGACTGGCTATTGCGCATACCGGACATTTGCCCGGTGGGCCGATGGTGATCTTTCATTTTTATGTTTGCTTGTTTGTTTTTGTAATGGTATAAACAATGAAAGGTGGTGGATTAGCCAATTGGCTAATCAACTCTGGGCTGGACCAATTACAATACATCCTTACTGAGGTGAAAAGGAACGCGATTAGTCCCGTACTTCAGCTAGAATGAAAAAAGACACAAAGCAGGAGTTATTCTGTGTTTTTGCTGTACAACTGCCTGTTCTTCTCTCATTCTCTCCCCTCCCTCTCTTGTTGCTACTTCAATCATGAAACTGATCAATGATCAGCTGATGTCTCTCTTGTTTGTTTATCGCCCACTTTGCACCAGAAACAGGAAACCAGCGGATGTTGCGCTAAACAACACCAGCACGTTTAAGCTTGATAAGCTGTTGTTAGAATTTATTTAATATTACTTTCTAGTATCAGCTGATGTTTGCCAGAGCCCCACCTGTAAAAGCTGCTGGTCAT